TACTAACACAGGCAAAAACATTTATTCCTTTTAAATTATTTTTTAACCTGACAGTACTTGAGAGCTGATGAATTTAATTGCATGCAAGTTTTGCTGTTTCCTTTTGCTATACAGTAACCTACATATATTGAGTGTTTGGGGTTGGGGAGGCAGTAGAAGTATCACTTTAGTTCCACTTATGTTGGCTTAAATCAAGGCAGTCTTGTTTATGCTTGTTGTTTTGGAACCAATGAAGAAGTTAAGATGCTTACAGTTTCTATAACCTGATTAAGAACAAGCTGGTTACCAAAGCATATAATATATATATATAATTTTAAAACCTTTGTTTAAATTTGTATACAGAATACCCCTCAAAACCAGTTGCTTTTGAGCTAACAAAAATGTTGTTTTTTTTTTTTAAATCTACATCATTCAGTCATAGATGATAATTTGTTTTACTCTGTGAAACTGTGAAACTTTTCAACATTATTTACAGGTAGTTGTTCTTGGTTGAAAAGTGAAATTATCCAGGTTTGGAATGTGTTTTCTTTATCTTTTTATATTGCTTTTTGTATGCTAGGGCATGCAATATATTTGATTAATTATACCTAAATATTTGCATGCAATATAATATATGCACATACTTGTACATATATGTTTGCTTATTTAAATATGATTAAACAAATAAGTGTGTGTTCACACACATGTGGGTAGGAGTGGGGGCAGAAAGGTGTGCTTGTATGTATGTATGTTCATCTCAGTGGATTTTTGCAAATATGCTTTGAAGGGATGGAGACTGTCATTGTTCAAGTTGAGCTTATAGAGTAGAATGTTAAAAGTTGAGGAAGGACAGGTGACTCTTAAAAAATGACATATTTTTCTCTGGGAGCAGGGAAATGTGAGCATTGTGTTTTGGATGAGTTCTTAAATATCCATTTTCTGCATCTCAGTGACCAATGTTTCTCTTACGAGAAACAAATTTCCTATTTTGCAATGCTTCTCACTCCTGTAGCATAATTCTCCTTTGTCTTGTTGTTTACGTACCTTTTTGTAAATGAAATTATATTTATGTTTGTTATTTTGTTTTTTAGTATGTGTTTTCTAAACTTGTGCATAATTCTGTTTTAATTTTCTGTAAATTGTACGACCGAAATAACTATAAAATAGTGATGGTTTTAGTACGTTTTGATAGATCTGTACCATGAGACACTTTTACGAAATCAAAGGATGACCTTACTAAATTGCTTTATAATATATTTGTTGCATTTACTGTCAACTTTGACTGTTCGTTGCTGCCTTGTTCTAGATGTTTAAACAACCAAATAAGGGATTTTTAAGTAAGCCAAACAACATGTAAAAGTGTTAAGGGTCTGATAATTTATTATTTGTCTGTGTGACTTACAGATTTTGAAATATGACACCTTTTAATAGAGATTACAACAATGTGTAGTGCTAAAGTCCCAATTATACAAAAATACCTGTTAAAGAGATTCAGAAGCAATGAATACTTGTGCATTCTTTCTTCAAGTTGCTTAAGAAATAGAAATGTTTAAAGAAAAACAGCAAGTAAACAGCTTCTAATGAAGTAATGGAATGACAGCCAGTAGGATTTTATATATTAAAAGAAGTATTTTGCTTTACTAAACTTTTAAAAAGGATTACTATACTGATACATTAAATTATTTAATTTAATATATTGAACTTTTTAAAAGAGAACTTTGCACTGTGAGCAATCAAAATAAGAACATTATTAGTAATAGATTTTAATGCAGGGTTATTTTTTAAAGTGTTGCTTTGAGAGGATCATTTCACTCTTGACAAGAAAGGATTGCAGTACTCTCTAATTAAAGAATTTTCTATACTGGAAATGAGAAGTCAATTACTAAAATTGTTTTTGAATAGCTAATTTACATATCCTTAATTGTATTCATTCTTTTTGAAAGGCTGAATTTGATATTTATAATGTTTTGATTGATTAGTAATGCATTGTTAATGTTAATAGCATTACCAACTAGGTGTCCCTCCAAATGGAACCTGAAATAGCCCTGAATAAATGCCTTTAATTAATAAATAAATTAACTTTTTATTTCTTTTGTGAAGACAGACCTTAAATCTTTCAGTCCCTGATTTGTCTGCACTGTATGCAATAAAATCTCTTGTACGCAATGTTAAAAAGTGGGCATGGAAACCCATATCAAGTAGCGTCATTGGTGAGTACAATAGGAGAGCCTCTAGATGAATGTTTTATTTAATATAATAATGACAGGAATCTGCCAAAATAGTGTACAACCATAGAACTTCCTGGGCTCTTCATTGTACTGGTTAATCAAATAGTGATAGAATTAGGAAATATATTTTCTAGATTATGAGGGCTAAAAAAAAAATCCCATTTGGAAATGTAAACTTGGTCAAAATTATCTAAGAATTTGTAATCTTCAAACTTGATTAGGGAGAAAAGATTTTGGTTTTCTTCCCAGCTTGGCCATTGACTCCCCCTGTATAACCTTGTACCTGCTACATGAGGAAAAAGCTATTATTCCTGTGGCCTGTGGGGTAGTATTTTCTCATGCAGTAGGTAGGAAGTTAGATAGTGAGTAGTGCTGTTGTTTCATTTGATGAATATGATTCATTTTACATGTGTGATATGGGGAAAATGATTCACTCACATCTGTAAAATGTTTAGAAACGTGTTATCCAATACCTTAGAAGTATTATCATATACTAATATAATGCACTAGGGTATTAAATCACAGAGAAATTCCACCTGGTACAATAAAAAGATGCCTGCTTACTGACCATCACTTTTACATTTGTGCTCCATTTACTCTGCTGCTTGCCCGCATAATACCAAAGTGGATTTCAGACCCTGGTGTTGATCTTCAGAGCTTTCAGGCCTCATGCTGTCTCATACTGCTTTTCCCTTGATAACAGCTGCCATGATCAGAAATGAAATTTTCATGGCACAATAATATTCATATGACTAGTTACTTAAAAACAAGAAAAAGCCATGCTTTTGTTGTTGGAAATAAAGAACAATGTGCCTAATTTTCATGGTAATTGTAAGAGTGACAGTGTAGCCAGGATGGCTCAGAAATTATGCAGGAGGCAAGGTTGGTATCTTTTATTGGACCAACTGCCTAGTTGAAATAAAGTTAGACATCTGAAAGTTTGATGTCTAATTTTCAGATGTCCAATTACATAGTCTGTCCAATATAAGATATTGCCCCAAGAAATCCTTGCCTTGCATTCATTTTCATGTAATACGGAAGGCAGGGCTGGGGGCACTAATGAGACCAACTCATTCAAAAATGCACAAGCTTTCATAGGCAACAGCCTACTTTGTCAGATGCTATGAATGTAAATGTCTCATTAAATTCTCCCTCCCTTCTTTCCCCCCTTTGGATTTATGTATTTGTAACATGCGGAGATCCGATGGTGCTGAATGCAATATGAACACCTGGATAGTTTCCCTGTACTTCATCATTATGTTACAAAGAGATTTGTCTTGTTACTAGAATTAATCTTTCCCATAAGCTTGGAGTGAATACAATACAAATTGTGTGTGGTAAGAGGTATGTACGTGGCCATAGAAAGAAAGCAGCCTTCATATGGAAAAAGAGAGCAAGCAGTCTTCCTAATTACTCAAGGTTTTTTGTGTACCACTGAAATATGCATTGGTAAACATGAACTGACACATTTCTGGCAACCAAATTATAAATGAGTGGAAGACCTAAAAATGTCAATTTCTTCCTCAGAAGCATTTCAAGTTTTTTCTCTTTCTCCCCATATTCCCTTCTCTATTACTTCTCTTATTCCTTTACCTTCTGCATTCCTTTATTCCCTTAGGCAAATTAATTCCTTTAAATATTTCTCTCCGTGCTCCAGTATTTTACTAGTCACAGCTTATCTATTTGACATAAATCTTAAATGACAGAGAGGGCTTGGCGTGCTAATATTTCATATAGGGTGTGTGTATGAAATGTATACAACGTATGTTATGTGTCTCCTAAACAGATCTCTAGAAAGTTTTTAACAGAGTGAAAGTGTTGCACTTTCCAGATTCAGCATATATGAAATAAAACTTCACAAACTGCACAAAATTTAAACAAACAAACAAAAAGGACGCCATAAGTTTCAAAAAACCTGAGACAAGATTTGGTGATAAAGGAAGTATGTATGTTTTTGCACAGAATTAGAGAACTATCTTGGCAAAATATCCTCAAGCTTATGAAGTTACTAAAAATATTGCATCCATATCTTCTACTCCTGAGGCCAGAGGACAGTTTAAAAGTACATCAAAAGGCATAGGTACAATTTAAAAAAATTCCCCCCCAAAATACATTATCATTACTAAAACATGGCACTGGAAATTTAAAAGTGGAAAACTGAAGGGGTTAAGTGCTGTTTTGTAAGCTTGAACATACTGTCTTGTACATACTTCAGAATATTCAAGTAAGGAAGAGAATAAGACCAAATTATATACTTACTCTTTATTTAACGGGAAAGAAGCTGAAAACCAAGAAAAGTGTTTTTTACCCCCATTGTACATATGCTTGTTGTGTTTTGGGATTGCTTAAAAATTACATGGTTTGTAAAACAAGTACCGCCTCCATTTGCGTGCATACTATTTAAAACTTGTCATCTGTCTTTTTTTTTTGTTTCAATTTTTGTAATTGGGCTTCAATATCCCTCTGCTGTACATTTTTATGCTGAAATACAGATGTTTCTAAATACAGGTTCGTAATACAAATCCTAAGATCATTGTTGCAAAAATGCTAGTTAATGACAGATCATTATGATCCTGACTGAGAGAAACACCTTTACATGACAGTGTTTAAGCATACGTTTAAGTTTCACTCAAGTTAGTACATTTAAGCAAATGCATAAAGGTTTCCATGAACCTTCACTTATGAGCCAATTTCAAATCTGATATTTTTGTTTGCAGGAAGGGAGCTTTTGAAGCAAGTCTGAGCAGTACTTAAAGTATAAACTGTATGGTTCTGTTTCTTGTTGTTTTACAGCTCATTGCTGTGTATGATGAACAAGAATCTCACCACAAGATTGATGGCACCAATGGCAGTTTGACAGATGGACACAGCCCAGATCCTTTTGAGATGGAGGTAGCCGCCCAGCTGGCTGCTTTTCAACCAATTGGTGGTGAGATTGAAGTTACACCATCTGCATTGAAATTGGGTGTGTACCCATTACTTCCTCATTTTTTTAAATCATCCCCTGTGTACCTTAGCTGTACTCCTACTGTTTTATTTTCACTCTTCCCGCTCAGTTGCTTGCATGTGCGCTCATGCTCTGTCTCCCTCTCTCCATCCAGTCATTGGCTTCTATCTTCAGTGGTAATAATACTGTGATGACACAATACAGAATTTTTCAAAAACAGATTGAAAGGGAATCCCATTGCTATGTGCTTTCAAAGCAGCAGTGCAATCTGATAAATATCCAGCAAAAGAATGATCCTGAGAGGAATTTTCCTATGTTGTATTTAAAAAACAAAACCCAAAAAATTATCCATGAATTTGTGTTAATAATAAACTCAGGGCTTAAACCACAAAAGGGAAAAATAACATCTTTTGCCTGTGATTCACCCTAACTGCATATGGGCTGTTGGGGTATCTGATTAGTGTGTGATAAAATTCTTGCAGACTTGGTACTGAAATGTTTTTGCTGTTGAAATATCTGGTGTTAATTTTAATTTAATTGCATTTAAAAGAAGCACGAATACCGATGAAAAGTAAAGCCAGAAATAAACATCCTACCAACATTTTATTGAACAATATAGGTATCTTTAAATTGTTAACAGAAAAATGCTGCTGCAGTAGAATATATTCTAATTTGTGCTTATGAAGGAAAATGTTTACATTTGAGTTTAGTAAAGACTTTCAGATTATGCTTTCCACTGTAACTGAACGTTTTTGATTGCCGTTAAATTCTACTTTTTGAAATTTTTTTGTACCTAAAAGTGTATGTAAAACTTATTTTTGTCATGTAGGATGAATGAAAAGATTTGCATTCATTTGAAGGACCTGCAGTTGAATGATTTGCTATTTTATTTTTATACCTAACTTATATTACATGATGGATATTCTATTCTAACATGTTTTGAAAGGCAAAATCTATTCCCTTAATCCCCTGAAGCCTATTTAAAAGATCAGTAAACACAATCTAATCAAGCTCAATACTGTAATTATAGATTGGGATGGAACAGAGAATTATATTGTATAATTTAGCCTCATGCAATCTTACGTAAAACAAATAATAATTTGGTTTATAATGGCAGTGCCAGTAGAACTTTGATTTTGGCAAAACACAGATTGACCCACTATGTCATCTACCAGATGGGATCATTTTTCATAATACTATGGAGTTGGAAGGAGAATTAAAAGAATAAAAAGCATGGTATAGTATAAAAATATATGCCAATTAAGTTATCATGTCGTTTCTAGAATAGAATTTATATATGTTCTTAAATGAGACTTTGTAAAGATGCAATGCTAGAGTTTCTGTGCTTGTCTCCCATTCCTTTTCAGATTGTTTCATTTCACGTGTTAAATGAAAGCTTTTCTAACAGTCAACTCTTTAAACTCAATTTGAGTTCTGAAAGTCTGCCTCTCTTCTTTCTGGCCTTTGCAGCTTATTCAAAACGAAACAAAACCAAAAACCTTTTACACATCCCATGCAAGTTTATTGACTTCAACTTGTGCAGCCATTTACACCAATTCTGAATTAAATTTAAAAATTAAAATGCAGGTTTTTTATGAGTACCATTGCTACCTCAGGCAGATTAGAATCTGACTTCCAGTGTAATTCTTTAGGTAAGTCTGCATTGCAAACAGTAGTAGAAGTTAAAGAAAGATATTTTATTTCTGTATTTATTTTTCAAAAGATGTTGCTATGACGATAGATGTAAGTATCAAGCAGATCTGTTGAGTAAGGTGATGTGATTTTTACAAAATCACTTGTCAGGGTAGATCTTCATGTTGAGAACTCTGGCATTTGTTTAGCCTTTTAAAGAATATATTGCAAAAGATTGCTGAATTTACTTGAATAGGGATTATATGTCGATTATTTATTCAATAAATGAATAAAAACTGTAATGACTTTACTGTGTGTTTTAAGCATTGATTTCAAGAATCTGTACTTTGTGGCCACATGCACCTTATTATCTATCTGTGTGTTTATAATGGTCTCCCTAAAGAGTGCTTAAGATTTGTAACTAAATAAAGGCATAAAAAAAAATTCTTTTTCAAACATAAGGGAATCCATATACATTTTGGAAAAAAAAGTTGAATGTTATTCAACAGTTCCTTATTTGTAAAGGATATGTCTCATAATATGATGGCATAATCATGCACACCTAATCTTACTACCTTTCTGTCGTTTTTATTTCTTTACCACATCTTGGAATTACTTATTTCAGATTCCTGTATGAACAGTACTGTCCAGATATTAACTAATCTGTCTCAGGCTCAGATCCTAGTTTTTTTTTATTACCTCCCAGGTAGTTAACTTTTGTTTTTCCTTTAGTAAGTCATATGAAACTTTGAAAATGAGCCAGTTCTCTCTTTGTGTCTCTCAGTGATCCTATATTTCACTCAAAACCTAAGGTACTTCAGATCCTATATTACTTCCATATGGGTTGGCAAAATCTTAAAAAAACAAAAAATGGTCAAATGTATTTGAAATTTGGCTGTTTTAAAACTGTTTTCATAATATTTAGCATTTATCGTTTTATAGCACCTTATATTATACAGCCGTTGATTTTTGCCAAATATTATACTACTTGTTCTGTTTTATGTAACATAACATAGCTCATAGAGAAATACATTAAAACATTTTCATGTAGCTTTTATAAGGAATTGTATCCTGTTTTGGTGTTGCCTTTAGGAAAAGTAGAAAAAGATGTTATGCCTTTAATTAGGCCAAAGTGTCTAAGTATTTCCTATGCCCATAATATGAGGTTAAGTATTGGCCTGTGATCTTAGACAAACATGCTTGCACCACACACATAGCAGAACTGAAGCAGAGTATCAGGTGTTGTTGCTGACACTGCTGTTGTCTGAATTTAGACTACAAAGCAAGTAAGTGTGTAATGGTTTCCTATTGCCTGAAGGGCTTTAGTGGAGTCTTTGGAATTCAGAGCTGAAATTACTGAGAGAACAAGGGTCATTTGCTTCAATTAGATCCATAAGTCACAATTTGGTCATGGCATTTTATCCTACTGGTTTCCTCTTAGGCATAATTGCCAAAAAGTTAGGCTTGATTGCATAGTCACCTCTCTCAAACTGTCTTTATTTATTTATTTATTTTTACAGATTAATGTCTTATCATGCAACAGATAAATGATGTAGTAATTACCTTATGATAGCATTCTGCTATCACCCATTCAGGCATAGATATAGATCTAATGATGATCTGACACATACTTTTACACACCCAATTTCCTTGCTTCTTCCAGAAATAGCAATGTTATCTCCATTTACTTGGACTGGGATAAAAAAAAATAATATCCTTAAATCCGAAAGGTAGGGTGGAGTAAGATAGATTCCTTATATGTTTGCCTCAGATCTGCTTCTCCAAGTGTCTTGCCTTTTTAGGTTTTGTGAACTGGAGAGCACTACAGTTCATTCCATACAGGGCCAACAGGTTCAATTACAAGTGTGGAGCCCATGCCTGTTCCATTCATAAGTGAAATATACTGCATAAGAACATACAGGCTGCCAAGAATTGCTCACTAACCTGAGTTCCCCAATCTAAAACAAACAAAACAAAACAGCACCTTTTTATATAGTTATGGAATTTTCTTCCTATTGCTACTGCAATTAAGATTTAAATCAATAAAGAATTATATATTTAAAAAAACTTAATGCCCACTCTCCAATTACTTTTTGTGGTAGATGATAGAAAAGAAAGACTTGATTTTGCAGTAAAGACAACATTGCTCAAAGTGAGGAAAAAAATAAAATCGGTGTGTGTTTATATATACACATAAACTTAATTTGTCCAATCAGCTATTTCAAACAGTAAAGCCGTGGGCCTTTTCTTTTAGCGCTCTTAGGCCAGATACAGACATTGCACATAAACCAGTATAAGCAATCTGGAACTGGTCTGTACTTAACAGAACAGAGGTTTGGGGCACATAGACTGGTTTAAAAGTGGCAGAACCTGGTCTAAGATAGACCTGGATTGATGAAGTATCAGATTTTAATTGGTTTAGGTTGTAACGGTCTATCAAACTTCTGTACCAGATCTCCTATCAATTCAAGTTAGGTTGCTGCCTGCTGGCATCCGAGGCTGCTTTGTTAGGCCCCCACTTCCCCCTTCACAGGGAGGCCTGCTGGAATTCCACTGGGCTTGGCTGCTCTGGCCAAGCATGCAGTGGGACCTGCTCCCTGGCTGTCACAGAGCCAGCCAGCAGAGCTTCTGTCCCTAGCCCTGTCTCCTGCCTGCAGTAAGCTGTTGACCACAGGGGAGAGGGCCTATAGCTCAGGATTTTTCTGTCTTTGCACACTGTCCCTAGGTGGGGATCTGGTGCTCTGCAGAGCACTGGTGAACAGGCAGCAGGTGCCCCAAATGATTCCTGCAATTGGAATTCCAGCAGATGTGCTGGGTACCTCTTGCTGGGCACTTGCTGCTCACTGGAGCTCTGAGGGGCCTGATCCTTCCTTCAGCGGAGTGGCTAGGTCACTCGATTGGCTGCCAGGTACATGCCCTGAATCACCTTCTAGGAGAGCCTGAGAGCTGGTCACCATGGCACGCCAGGCAGCCTGGCCTGTGGGTGGGGGTGTGCCATGGTTATCCTGCCACTCGTTACCCTGCCACACTGCCATGGTTATCCTGCTACTCGTTACCCTGCCACACTGCTCCATTTGGCAGTCTCCAGCACTCTGGGAGACATGCAGAAGCACCCCCAATTAGTGCAGGCAAACTTTGTGTCCTGTCCTCCTCTCTTTTCCTGCAAAAGGGCAACTTTTGTTCTGTTCACTGCTGGACTAACCTAGTCCACTTAGAGAAATGCACATAAATTAGTTTGAATCTGCCTCAGGCTGTTTGAATGTCTGTATGTAGCCAGAATGAATACATGTAGAACTTTCACATCAGTCACAAATGCTGACCTAGTATTAAACTAGAAGCCTGGGCTTTAGTGACTACCCTTTCTGATGGGTTATGGGTAAAACTTT